CCACCCCATCTCACCCCACCCCCGCAGCCTCTCGCCATAAATTCGCAAAATAAGAAAAGAGGCCCTGCTGGTCGCCCGGAGAGCCCGGGCAACCCATGGCAGGAGCCCAGGAGCCAAGGAGTCGCTATTGTTTCTCCAGCCGCGTGGCCCTGGGTCACCCCGCGCGGGGCGGAGCGCGGACGAGGGCAGGGAGGCTCGGGATACTACTCTCCCCGCCCCCTCCCACCACCCTGGGCGCCCCCCTCCAGTCGTGACAGTCCCCTGCTTCTAGTCTCCCGAGGCGCGCCCACTCCGTGCGTCCACCCTCCGGGCACCGGGCCCAGCGAAACCCACGCTGCCCAAGGGTGCGGGTAGCGCGGCGAAAACGCAGGCCTGGAGTTACAGCCGCGCGTCGCCCCCACCGCGACCAGAATAAATCAGCAGCCTTCCGTTATTCATGGGGATTAATATTAATGCAGCTCCTTGGGGGCGCAGGGGAGAGTGTAGGGAGGCCGGAGGTCGGCCTCAGGGGCGCGGGCTGGGAAGGCGCTCGAGGCAGCCAGGGTCGGAGGTGGTGGGTGCTGGTCCACCCACTTCGCTCCGATCCCCGTGGGCTGCCGAGCCGGGCGGAGCGCGGAGACAGATGGTTCGTGCTGGGAACCGTCAGCCTCCCCGCCGGCTTTACATACTAATGAAGAGCAGGAGGCTGGGGGTATTATCTTTGGGACACAGCCCAAGCCTAGGACTCCACCACCTGCCGAGCCGGGGGGTGGGAAGGAAAAGCCTCACTTCTCCTGGTCTGCAAAATGGAAGCAAAAATAACTTCTTTGCAGGGCAGCGATGAGTTTTAAGCAGGGGGAGTCCTCACACCTTGGACTGATAACTGTGAGGTCAGCGGTTCGAAACCTCCAGCTGCTCCACTGATCACGATGAGGCTTTTTACTTTCACAGAGTTACCGTGTCCGACATTCACAGGGGCAGTTCTACCCGGTCCTTTAGGGTCGCTATGAGTCGGAATGGCCTCGATAGCAGTGAGCTGACCTGCGTTCTTAAGAAAGGTTTGCAAAAGGTCAAGGGACCCAGAGAAATCAATGCTTGCCGGCCTGTGGTTTACAAACTGCCCTTCTGCCCCAGAGGCAGGGTCTCAGGCCCTCCCCACTGTGTCTGTAATCTGGTGAAGCCCATTGCCCCAGGCTCCTTCCTTGGGAGAGGGTCTATAGTCCTCAGACCGAACTTGTCCCCAATCCTGTACTGACCCTTGTCTGAAGACGGAATGTGGCCGGCCATGTGGACACTGGAAGAGCAGGTCTGGGACTTTGCCAGTGGAGCTGGAGTCCCAGCAGGCCGATTAAATGCTAGACCAAGCACTGGTAGCGGAGGACCAGAGTCTGAATCTAATTTACCACCTTCCTATAGAATAAGCTGACAAAAGTTATTCTCCCTTTCTGCAAAATGGGATAGCATCACAACCCTGAAGGGTCAACCATATAAAACTATGTGAATCTCTTAACCTAAGGGGCCCTGGTGGGTTAAGTTTGGGGCTGCTAGCCACAAGGTCAGAAGTTCGAAACCATCAGATGTTTTAAACCGTTAGCCACTCCATTGCCTAAAGATGAGGCTTTCTCCTTCAGTGAGGAGTTACCACTTCAGACACTCACAGGGGCAGTTCTACTCTGTCCTATGGGGTCGCTATGAGCTGGAATAGATTCAGTGGCAGAGAGCTTAGAGAAACCTCTTAACCTAGAGTCCTGTGTTGAGTGGATTCTGACCCCATGGGTTACAGAGTAAAACTGCCCCAAAAGGTGTCCAAATGCACGAGACAGGCCAGACCTGTCTCCCAAGGCACCTCAGAGAGGCCCTGAACCACCCACCTTTCTGGCTAATAGTCCCACATAACTGTTCAGGCCACCCAAGGACTGCTACCTAGAGCCTGGCACCCAGGAAACCTAAAACAGGGAGTCCATTTTCAGAGTCCTTGGAGAAGAGCTTCTTGGCCGAGACATCCCAGGACGACCAGAGAGATGAGAAACATGAGGTAAACAGAACCCTGAAACCTCTCCTCTTCAAATGGACTCAAAACCATCTTCCCTCAAACAGCGCTTCTCCCCCTCACTCAGCCGTTCAGGTCCTGCCTGATGCAGTAGCTTGAGCAGGCCTGGTGGTATAGTAGTTGCACGTCAGGCTGCTGATCTAATGGCAAGGTCCGAAGTTCAAAACCACCAGTGGCTCAATGGAAGAAAGACAGGGCTTTCTACCCCTGGAAAGGGTGACAGTCTCAAAACCTCACAGGAAGGCAGTTCTACCCTGCCCTATAGGGTCGTTATGGGTCGTCACCCACTTGGTGGCTTGTTCATCCTAGGACCCTTCATAAGCAAAGATGCCAAGAGCTACTCCAGCATGACATTCTTCCTGAACGATGGGGTGATGGCAGTGGGGTGGGAGAGGAATGCCTATCTCTCTCCCCAACCTTGGTAGTTATTGTTTAATCTGATCAAATGCACTTTGAGAAATAATTTGTGCATTGCATCTTCTCTTCGACCCTGCCAAAGGTAGACCTGCGATTGAGAATTTGAAGCTTCCAGCTGACTAACCTTTCCAGCCTCATCTTCTTTTCGTCATCTAGGGCTTACTTCCCTTTCTGAGATGGGACAACGGAGCGAGGAAACCACGGGCACCTCCCCAGGCGTGGGGAGCAACCAGTGAGCCCAGCAAGGCCGTGGCTCATTACCACAGAGGTATGCATCTTGGATGCATGGCCACCTTACAGACTGAAACAGAGCCTGCTCCCACGTTAGCCACACCTTTAAGATTAGTTTCAGATGGGGCCATTGTGCTCCATGCGGTCTGCCCTGCCTGATTTTCAGAAGTTACCTTACCAGGTCTCTCTTCCTAGTCCCTCCTTGTCTGGAAGCTCTGCTGAAGCCTGATCAGCATAAGTGCACCACAGAACCCCCGGCTGACAGACTGAGGGTGGCTGGTGACCCCCCACACTGCATGGGTTGGGGTTGAAGCCCGGATCTCCCACACTGAAGGTGAGAGCTCTACCAGGGCCCCGCCAATGCCGCCGTCACTTCTATGGAGAAACTCATTCTATCCTGAAAGCCATCTGCTACGGAAGTTAGTCGTCATACCGCTCCTTTCACAGAGGAGAAACCGGAAGCGAAGAGAAATGCAGGACTCGGCTCCAGGTTGTACTGCTGGGGGCCCCATCTAGAACAAGATGCCACATTCAAATTAAGTAAACTGGAAAGTCTAATGAAGGAACTATTTAGAAAAGGATAGGCAGGGGGGAAGGGAACCGTAAGAAAGAGCAGAGACCCCCTGCCAACCTGATAACAGTGGGGCCACACCACTACACACCCTGAAGGGAGGCCACTGGACCCCCGAGGGGAGCACCATATGGAAAAGGCAGCTGGACCACTGGACAGGAACTGAGAGCTTTGTTGCCCCAGGGGACTGAGGATGCAGACCTGAACCCCTCTTCCTTCTTGCCTTTCTCATTCCTTGAAGACTCCCTCTTGGCAAAAGCTGGCTAGAATCCAGGAAGCAGAAGCATCCTTGATATAATTCACATGTCATCCTACCAGTTCAGCCTCTCTGGGGAGCCTAGCAGAGTGGAGAGTGGATGTGGACAGGCCGAATAGATGGGGCTGGGTGCATGGGGTTTGAAGGCCTGCCGTCTTTCTATAGAACCTTACTTTGCCTCACTGGGCTGCATGGGGCAGGCTGCCCCCACCCCCATGCTGTGTGGGGACCACCCCACCAGGGGAATGCTCCAGCAGAGAAGCAGAGTGTCAGAGCAGTCGCTGGAGATCAGAAAGAGGTCTGTTCATGTTAAACCCGTGCAGTCACCAGATGGCCTCGAAGGTCCAGTCCTAAATTCTCAATGTCCTTCTCCGATGGCTACGGGAGCTTAGTGGGCCCAAATGAAGGACAAAGATTCGTTCTCTCCTCGTTCTCTCTTGGATTCCCTTAGGATTCATTATCACATCTCCATGGGGTCGAGGTGGGCGTGGGAGGGAATTCCAGATATAAAGAAAAGAAAAAAAGAGCTCTCCTGTGTCCCCATCACGGCTGTTGAACAAAACTTCCCCCCACATGACAACAGCAGAGGAGACATGTTTCCATGTTCAGAGTCTATCAGAAGAAATGGACCAAACAGCAGTCAACTGATCTGAGGGTCAACCCACCCAAAGGGGTTGCCATTTCGTATCTTCTGAGAAGTACGCATTTCATCTGCCTTGCTCTTCGATATTAGTGATGCTTCCCCCACCCCGCATCAACTCTGTCCGCAGGACATTCATACATGTAGCTCTTTGCAAGATCAGAACCATCAGGGGGATGCATTTGTCCTCCCAGAGTTTCCATGCAGCTGTGCTGGTCAAACAAGTCTGGGCTTGGGAGTCAAACAGACATAGGTTCAAATCCCATCCATTCATTGAGTGGGTCATG